AGCAGAAGATGAGCTACCAAGTGTTGAGATAGATGCAGCCAGGCCAATCAGTTGAGCAGCCAAAGAGTAAGAAAGACAGAAACACTGATGGGGAAAAGGAAAGGTGTGAGGACTGTTTATTAATTGTGAGGAGGTTCCAAACCACAAGACCACCGACAGAAGTGCACATCACTGTGACAACAACAGAGGAAGCATACTGGTTGGCTTAACGAATAGTCTTCATCTTGTTAGGATGCTGAAGTATAATTGCAATCCATGAGAACTTACTGATAAAAGTCTAGTCAAATCCAAACTCTGTTCTGCAACACATTCTCTTGCTCCCTAATCATCACTCAACTTCTTTCTAACTTTATTCTGGTCTTTTCTTTAAAATTGTTTCCTAATATTTGTGCTACCAATGGTATTTTCTTAACACATAACTTGTAAAGAAAAACTATTAAAATGCTAGTTGGTACTTTTTTTTTGTATGAATAAAAGATTTGACAATCCTTCCCTTCCCCAACCTGGAACAAAAATAAGGAGTAGAAAGCATGAAGACTCCTTACACTTGACCCACACCATTTGCACACAGGTAGCACAGGGCAGCCCAGTGCAGCTCTCCTCAATGCCCTCCCTGTGGTCACTTGGACTGCTTACTGCCTTTCTGGGGCTTTGCAGAGGCCACCCTCGCCTCCTCCTCTGGGATGAACACACTGATGGTGAAGTCACTAGTCTCCGAGCCGTACTTGTTCTTCACAACCAGCCCATATTTGCCAGAGTCAGAGGTGGTCACCCCACTGAGGGTGAAGTAGGCGGTCTTGCCGGCTTCGAACTTGAGGCTGCAGTGGTCATCTGAGGCGAGGGACTTCTCATTCTTTAACCAGGAGATCTCTGGAGTTGGGTCACCCCACACGGTGCAAGTGAGATTAAGCGCCTGCAAAACAAGTTTTATGAGAGGGAAGGAGAGATACCATATATAACGATCCAACTTCAAGAATCCCCTGGTGGTGTGGAATGACCCAACAGAGGATGAATATAAACCTCCCAGATCAGGGTTTGAACTTGTTACGTGTATGCAACCGTGTGATTTATAGTTTGAAATTAAACTTGAGTAGGTTTCTTCAGGGCCTCGGCTCTCTAGGTTCTGGAATGCTTATCATCAAAATCACACGGACTTTGCTTCCAGTTCCCATTTCCATTTTCGTTTTCATAAACACATAAACGCCTTTTGCTCTAATGTGGCATTTTGGACTCTGTCTCAGTAGAGAAACTTCCTCATTGCCATAATCACCACCTGCTCACTTTTGCACTTCAATTGCATCACAGAACCCAGCAGCAGAATCCTAACAGCTGTTTCAGATAATGTGAGTAATTTTCAAATTCCATCTTCCTTATCTTATTTCTCCCCACAAACCCTATTCAATCTGTTGCAGTTGCTCTACCAAAATGTATTTCTATTTTCCTGACCTTTTATTATATTTCCATCTGTGCTGAAATGTTTAGGCCTATAGTTTTATTCTACCTTACATTTTGGTTGAAATTTTTTTTCAATAATTGTAGATTCATATACAATTGTAAAAAACAATACAGAGATCCTGTGTACCCTTTATCCAGTTTCCCCAATAGTTACATTTTACAAAACTATAGCATGTCACAACAAGTACATCGGTATTGGTACAATCCATTGATCTTATTTAGATTTCCCCAGTTTTATTTGTTTCATTTGTGTTATGTATGTTTACTTCTATTCACTTCCATAACCTGTCTAGGTTCATGTATCCACCACCACCATAGGGATAGAGGATGTGTTGCTTTTATAACCACACCCATTCCCCCACCCACCCCAACCTCCCAACCTCATTCCTAGCTCCTGGCAACCACTAATCTGTTTTCTGTTTGTTTGCAAATTTTGTAATTTCAAAAAACACTATATAAATAGCATCATACAGTATGTAACCTTCTGCGGTTGCCTTTTTCACTCAGCATAATTCTTTGCAGATTCATCCAAGTTATTTTATGTATCAATAGTTTGTCCTTTTTTATCATTGAGTAGTGTGCCATGGTATGTTTACATCTATAAGAGTTATCTTGGCTGTTAACAGTCTTGGACTATTATGAATAAAGCTGCTATGAACATTTGTGTACAGGTTTTTATTTGAATATAAGTTTTAATTTCTCTATGATAAATGCCCAGGAGTGCAATTGCTGGGTCATATGGTAAATGCATGTTTCAAACTGTTTTCCCGAGTAGTTAGACAATTTTGATTTACATTTCTACCAGCAATGTAGGAGTGATTCAGTTTCTCTGCATACTTACCAGAATTTGTTGTTGTCAATATTTTTTATTTTAGCAATTCTGATAGGTGTATTATAATATTTTATCGTGGTTTAATTTGCATTTCCCTAATGGCCAACATTGTTGAATTTACTTCACATTTTAAATTTCATTATTGCATTTCTTTCTTCCTAAAATTCAGTAAGAATAATGAAAAAGAAGCGCAGTTGGATGAAACTCGTCTCTCATTAAAGCCTTTATCTAAAGGCTTTAATAAAGATATGCCTTGTTTTATCACCCCAGTTCCAGTCACTCATCATATGTCTCTATTGCCATTTTGATGCGGGAAAAGGTTTTATTCCACTACAAATACCTCTATCCCTATGACTGGTATATTAAACTTGGTTTTAACAAAACATAGGGGTGAAGAAAGTGAATCCAGGTTAGAAATTATATTCATTGCTTTTCAGAGAGATTATTATGGAGTCAAGAAACACCATTTTAAAACTAAATGGAAAGAAATTGAGTTTCAACTGAAATAGTCTATAGAAATTCATGAAGCAGCATGTTTCTCTTCAAAGGTGAGGTATTTAACAGGATTGATTTTCCAGTAGGTGTTAGAGGTTGCTTCTTTCTTCAATTACATTTTTCATATAGTTATGTTGAAACATTTTCCTCTTCTCGTGATTTTAAAGGTAACTATGGAAAAACACTAAGTGTTCTACATGTGCCCACATCAGACAAACTTGTATCCTGCCTCTTGGCCCAAAATATTAAGATGACTTGAAAAGTGACTGCAGTTTATACCTTATATTTGGCCATTCTGAAGTCCAGCACAAGCAGCCATGGCATAAGATGAAGGTAATGGGATGTATCTTAAAACAAGGAACAAAGTCGGAGGCGCTGGAACCCATTCCCAGTCTGGAAGGAGCAGGGATAGGAGTGCTCTATGCTTACCTTGCCCTCCTGGATGGTGACCACATCGGGGAGACCGCCCAGTACCCGGGCACGATCTGAAAGCATAGGCATTTCCAGTTAATCACTAAAATGATGAGCATCAGTAATCACACTCACAAAACCATCCAGGGGTATAATTTTCCAATCTAGTCTCCTTCCCTTTATAGTTATTTTATACCTGTTTTCAATATGCAAAATAAGGAAAAATGATCCAGTGATGCTGAATGTTTACCCTTCACACACATTTTTCATGTACACAGGTGTCTCTGTCTGTATTTAAAATATCAACTTGAAAATGCTTTGTTGGATCAAGACTTGCCCTATAATCTTCATGGCTATTTTTAGCCCTGGCCCTTCTGCAGCTCAGTGGGGCTCAGCTTGAGGAGGCGGAGCAGATCTCTACAGAAAGCCTCCAAGCTCAGTGTGGCCTCTTTTATGAGCTTCCCTATGATTAAAAAAGGTTGCATAATTGGAGGCTGTACACCAGGGAAATCTGTAGGACTGTGAAAACATGAGTTTTGAGTCTT